AAGCTGTCACGAGGGGGGGTCGTGTTCTCCGTGGCCTTGGTCACGGAGGGGCGGCTGGATCCGAGGCTGGCGTGGAAGGAGCGGGGTGGGGGCCCCGCAGGATGCGCCCCGCCTTTGTGTCAGGGGAGGGGGCCAGCCGCGGTCAGCGCTGGGCTGTCTGTGGAGTGGGGGGGCTGACCCCTGGAGCCTGAGCCTCACCTTGGCAGGGGATGTTAGAGCAGACACCGTCATTACAATCCTGCCACAGGCCACTGTGTCCTCCGTGGAAACGGATCCAGTAGTTGGTGGCCGTGGAGAGAATCGTGAGGACGTTGGTCAGGAGGCCCAGCATGGTGCCCCCAAACTGAAGGCTCCACTTCACCCCCATGCTAAGGAGGCTGCTTCCTGGGGCCACACACGCAGGGTTGGCCAACACCCCTCGCACCCCAGGCCCCTCTCCAGGCTCCCTGGGACCCCCTCCCACATTTCTCTCGACACCCCAGCCGATACCCCAGCACCCCTGCCTGGGGACTCTGAGGCCTTTCCCGCCCCCCAGGAGTCACAGTTTAGGAAGCTCCCTGCCTTCTAGGGGCCCCCACCCCCCAGAGGGATGTCCCTTTGGCCTGTCCAGTGCACTCCCACGCCCCACGCCCCACACCCCCTAAGTGACTCACAGCCAGCTCCCAGGACTTCTTAGAGGCAGAGTGCAGAGGGGTGGCGGAAGGGAGACTGGTCAGTCTCTGTGAGGCAGCAGGGGTTCCAGAACCCCTCTCCCCAGGGCCATTTAAAGAGATAACCACCCACCCACCCATCCACACAGGCATCTCTCCCAGCAAAGTGACAGCTCAGAGTCAGACGGCAGGTCTGGGGGAAGCCTAAGGGACAGGACACGGTAGACCACGTCCTTCTAAAAACTTCTCTTCCCTTGACCCCATAAGTGTTCCTGGTCCCCAACTCGGACTGTGCCTCCCAGGCCCCTACGCAGGCTCCTGCCGCTCCTGCTCCCTACATCCTGCACTTCTACCAGGTGAGCTTCCTCACTCCCGCAGCTCCAGTGGCCACAGCGCTCTGAGAGCACCCCAAACTCCATCTCCAGCCCTGGTCTCTCTCCCGACTTTGGACTGGAGTCTTTGCCTGCTCCTGCCCGTCTCCCAGACATCTGGCACTCAGCCACCTCCTATCTGAGCTTAGCATCTTCCACCAAACCAGGGAAGACCTCACCATCCCACCCCTGGGCACTATCCTTGCACCCTTCCCTCTCCTCACCCCACTTGGGGAACTGGGTTCCCCAAGTCTGGTTCCTCCTGCTCCCTGTATCTTTCTGGCTCCTTCCCTCCTTTCCACCTCACGCCCTGTTCTGTCAGGCCCTGTCCTAACTCCTGTCCCACCTGTTGCATTGCCAAGCTCTCCTCTCCCTTTCAGCCTCTCTGGATGCCCCAGAGAGGGCTTGCTGGCCCCGGGAGCTGGCACTGACCCTCCCCTGCTCTCATCCTGGCTCCCCTCAGGAGAAAGTCAGTTGTGGCATTAGGAGTCCTGGCTCCCACCCACCACCAGTCTGTCCTCATTTTCTACCCTGCATCCCCACATTCCACATCCCAGCCACAAATCGCTGTTTATCTTCTGAACACTTCGGCCTTTTCATGCCTCCACCTTGGAGTCCTTCTGCCTGGATTACCTTTCCTGGCCCTCAAGAAGTCCCTAAACACCCCCTCCCTGGAAAAGCTCACCTCCACCCCCCACAACACAATCACCCTTTGTCCCACGCCCTTCCTGGGCCGTGCCTGTCCCCCTGGCCGTGCCTGTCCCCCTGCCTATATCAACACCTCGCCCCGCCACCAGACTCGCAGCCCCTGGTGGGCAGGACCTGGGTCTGACTCGTGTCAGTGTTCCCAGCGAGGCTCAGCAGAAAGCCAGCAGAAGGAGCGGATGGATTAATGAAACGAACAGAGGAAACTAGGGCTCAGGTGGGGGACAGAGAGGGAGCGGGAAGGAAGGTGCTAGAGCAAGAAAGGCACAGGGAAGAATAGATCGAGGAGATCAAGGAAGAGAGACCGAAACAGAAGACGGACAAAGGCTAGGGAAGGGGAGAAGGGATGTGGGCAGGGCCCGAGTCCACACTGCACGGGAGCCCCCTGAGAGCAGGTGGCGGTTTCTGACTCTTTTCTGGGTGCCCAGTGTCCACCCACCATGGAGCTGACGCGCCATTGGCTTGTGTCGTGGTTGAATTAATGTCAGAATAACCAGGTTGCAGCAAAGTGTTGTTGAGTGGATAGAGAAA